CCCACACCTCCAACAAACAGCCCAAGTGACCAAGTAACTCAGGTGCCCTCAGGCCGGCCAAGGCCCAGGAGGGCTGTGCGCCCTCTGGTGGCCACCACAGGAATCACACCAGGGGTACCTAGTCCGTGAAGCCTGGAGGCTGGCCCAGGCTAGGTGGCCTCCTCCAGGAATCCGGCAGCCGCAGAGACAGGGAGGGGTCTCCAGTCAGCCCTTCAGAAGCCGCTGGTCCCTGGATCTCTGATCTCAGACCCAACCTTGGGACCCCGCAGTGTCTTCTCGCCCACCTTCCCCTCACCTACCCTTTGCCGTCCACTGAGCTTTCCTCCTCCTCCTCCAGGTCCACTGCAGGGCTGGTGCGTGGGGGGCATGACCGCGTGGACACGTTCCGGGCCAGGACAGAGCCTTTAGGGTAAAACGGAGCGGGTTGTGCCCTAGCTGGTGTGGCTCCGTGGACAGAGCGTAGGCCTGGGGACTGAAGGGTCCCGGATTCGATTCCGGTGAAGGGCACGTGCCTAGGTTGCGGGCTCGGTCCCCAGTGGGGGGTGTGCAGGAGGCAGCCTATCAATGATTCTCATCATTGATGTTTCTCTCTCTCTCTCCCTCTTCCTTCCTCTCCGAAATCAATAAAAAATATGTATTTAAAAAGGAAAACAAAAACAAAACGAAGTGGGTTGTGCCTGCTCCCTCGCTGGCCCCCTCCCTAGCCTTCCAACACGGCCACCACTGACCCTGTGGCCCGCCCCCCAACTAGCCAGGGCCCTTGGGTTCTCTGAGGAGAGGTGCTCGGTCGCTGCTCAGCACCTAGTCACCCCCAGACTCAAAAAGACACAGGGCCCTGAGAGGACAGCGTAGGTGATGCCCACTCTCAGTACAAATCCACCTGCGGCCTCAGTTTACCCTTCTATGAAATCGGGACCAGGAAGCCAGCCCCTGGGATTCCTCAGGAAGGGCCCAAGGTCCATGGCTCTTTCTCTCAGGCCTCCCCGCCCCCACCCCGTGGCCAAACCCAAAGTCCCAGGAGGCCTGGCAGAGGGGCAGTCTTTTTAGTGCCTCTGACCAGCTGAGAAGGCGACAAAGGGCTGGCCCCCAGCACAGCCAGTTGGCAGGGGCCTGAGTCAGGTCCCTATTCAGCAGGAGGGGTTTCTTGTTCCCGGCTACAAGTTCCTCTGACCTGCCCCCCCCCGCCCTTCCCTCCGCCGCTGGAAGATTTGCCCAGAAGTGCCCTGCCCGAGGACAGGAAGAAAGGGACCGTCTCCTCGCTGGCCCCCGTCCAGGCGCAGGGCAGCTGTGGAGGTGCAGACCCAGCACCTGGTAAAGACAGGGCTGCTCCCGAGATGGGGCACAACTCCCAGCCCTTTCTCTTGTTTAAAAAACTTGTAGAGCCAGGCCGGCGGGGCTCAAGTGGTTGAGCGTTGACCTATAAACCAGGAGGTCATGGTTCGATTCCTGGTCGGGGCACATGCCCGGGTTGCAGGCTCGATCCCCAGTGTGGGGCCTGCAGGAGGAGGCCGATTAATGATTCTCTCTCATCATTGATGTTTCTGTCTCTCTCTCCTTTTCTCTCTCTGAATCAATAAAAACGTATTTTAATAAAAAACAAAAAACTTGTGGAACAAAAGGGACTGAAACATACTTGCGTTTCATCACTTACAGTCAACTCTTGTCCTTCTGACAGCTCTGTCCTGGTTCCCCCAGTTACCAAGATACGGTGCCCCCAGAAAGGGGATGTGGGGCAACCCTGGGAACTCCGGGGCCAGGTTGGGCACCCCGATCCGTGCTCACCTTGCGGGGGCAGGTCGAAGCGGACGTGCCCGTCATAATGCATGGCGCTGTGGAACTTGCTGTCACAGGCTTGGCAGAGGTTGAGGGGTCCCCGGCGGTGCAGCTGCTGGCAGTCGGCGTGGTGGCATACCTGTGGGCGAGGATGGGAGGTGGGCTGTGGCCAGACCTCTGCCGGGCCCAGGGGGGCCTCCTGGCCCCTCAGGCCCTGCCCTTCATTTCCAGCCATGCTTTCCCCACGGGTGCCTGGTGCTCGGGAATTCACTCGACGAACGTTTCCCAAGCACTCACTCTGTGCCACTCTGACGGGGGCAAAGAAATCCCACGCCCTGCCCAGCCACGCAGTGCCCAGGGGCAGACTTCGAGTAAGTAACCAGAGGTGGGTGCAGCCAGGGCCTCTTCCTGGGGCGCAGGTAGGAAGGACACCCAGAAACAAAGCTCAGGCTGCCGTTCGGTTTGGCAGCGCAGTGTCTGCACCAGAAGGCCCCCCGCCTCCCGCTCGGAGCCTCTGCCCTGGTTCTATGGCCTCACTGGTCCTGAACCGCGGACCCTGCCCGACTCCTAAGTCAGGAGGGAAGGGGGACGGAGGCACCAGGGACAGGGGTTGGTGTTGGGTGCCCATGAGGGGTCCATGCAGTTGCTTAGTGACATGGTCCCAGATTTACCTTATCATCCGGGCCTCTGCTCCCCCAGCCACCAGGGATGACTTTCCTATCTCCTCCATCCTCCAACCACCCACAGCTCACCCCCACCCTCTCCCGGAGACGCTGCTTCCTAATTTTTTTAAAATGTTTTTTATTGATTTCAGAGAGGGAGGGAGAGATAGAAACATCAACGAGGAGAGAGAATCAGTGATCGGCTGCCTCCTGCAGACCCTACACTGGGGATTGAGCCCGCAACCCGGGCATGTGCCCTGACCGGGAATCGAACCGTGACCTCCTGGTTCATAGGTCAATGCTCAACCACTGAGCCACGCCAGCTGGGCAGCTTCCTACATTTTTTAGGGAAACGGAAGCATCAGAAGGCGATGCCATGAGCTCCCTCCATCACATCCACCACCTGCCCTGGGCTGCGGGGGGCTTGGCCCTGCTCCAATCCAAGGCCAGCCTTCCTCCGAGACCCACACCCTCTGGCCAAGGTGCAGACACAGGGCTTGGCCTTTGCCACCTCCTACCTCCTCAGGTCGCCCCTCCACAATGGCTCACTCCCATCTGCACATGGCATGGCACCGCTCATCTCCCTCCTTCTCCTACAGCTAAACTCTCTAAAACAGCGGTTCTCAACCTTCCTAATGCCGCGACCCTTTAATACAGTTCCTCATGTTGTGGTGACCCCCTATTTCATTGTTACAAATTGAACATAATTAAAGCATAGTGATTCATCACAAAAACAATATGTAATTATATATGTGTTTTCCGATGGTCTTAGGCGACCCCTGTGAAAGGGTCGTTCGACCCCCAAAGGGGTCGCAACCCACAGGTTGAGAAACGCTGCTCTAAAAGGTCTCCAGCCCAAGACGGTTTGGCTCAGTTGTTAGAGCATCAGCCCTCGCGACTGAAGGGTCATGGGTTCGATCCCAGTCAAGGGTCAAGGGCACGTTGCAGGCTGGATCCCCTGCCTGGGTCCCAGGTCAGGGCACGTGCAGGGGCAACCCATGGATGTCTGTCACATCATTGTTTCTCTGTCTCTTCCCCTCCCTTCCACTCTCTCTAAAAACCAACGGGAAAAATATCCTCAGGTGAGGGTAAATAAATAAAAATCAAACAGGTCTCCACGCTCACCACTTCCCGGTTCTCTCCTCTCATTTCTCTCTCTTTCCCAACTTTTTGTTTTAAAATATTTCAAACCCACAGCAAGGTGTCAGACAGAACAATGACATCCACCCACGCTCCCCGCTTCCCCAGTTGTTCACGTCCGCCACACCGACTTTCCGTCTCCTCTCGCCACCCCTCCCCAGTGAGAAACCCTGATGTCGCCTTTGAGCACAAACATCCTACGAAGCCCAATACAATCGACACACCCTGGGCATGGCTGTGCGGCCCAGCCAGGCGGCATCCGCACTTCCCCGGCCGGGTAAAGGGATGCTTCTCCGTACAGGAGCCAGTCAAGGTTTGCACATGCATTTGGTTGTTCGGTTGTTCCTTTCAGAATAAACGCCCCTATCCCGCCCAGGTGGCTCAGTCGGCTCAGTCCTATACACCAAGAGGTTGCAGGTTCGATTCCCGGGCAGGGCACATACCTAGGCTGAGGGTCGATCCCCAGTTGGGACCTGTGAGGAGGCAACATCGATGTTACTCTCTCACATGGATTTTCTTTCTCTCTGTCTCTCTCCCTTCCCTTCTCTCTAAAGACAAAAACAAACAAAACAAAAACAAAAAACAAACAAACATGTCCTCGGGTGAGGATTTTTTAAAAATTGTTTTTAAAGAAGAAGTACCCGATACTTTTTTTTGCTGGGGGGCAGGAGGGGGGGCGCGGGCCTTTTGTGACACAGGTTGTTTTTGTTACTCCTCACCCGAGGACATTTTCCACTGATTTTAGAGAGACTGGAAGGGAGGGGGAGGGACAGACAGAGAGAAAAACATCCATGTGAGACACACAGACTGTTTGCCTCTCACACGAGCCCCAACCAGGGCCGGGACCCAGCCTGCAAGTGAGGTACGTGCCCTTGACCGGATCGAACCTGGTACCCTTCAGTCCACAGGCCGACGCTCTACCCATTGAGCCGAACTGGCCAGGGCCACACCGATGTTTTAAGTGGCCAAGCAGGTGACTTTACAGGGGACAGCAAGGTCCCCAAATGACCTGGCACCTGGGTGCGCTGAGGTCACGCTGTCTTCCAGGCAAATCGCCTGCGGGGCGACCTTCTGGTGCACAAGGTGACACACCAACCACTGAGTTACCCGGCTCAGGGCACATGGCTCCAGATCCCAGGTTCCCACACTCACGCCACCACCTGGTGCCTGAGAGGGAGCATGGAGGGGAGGCTGGCCTGGGTCAGCCGGGCCATGGAGACAAGAACAGTCGCTGCTTTGGTTCCTGTGTCCCTCACTCCCCGCTGGACAGAGGCCTGGCTGGCAGGACACTCGCTCTTGGGGCTCTGGCCCCAGGCAGGCGGCTGTGGCCATTCTGGCCCGGATTCCCGACGGCAGCTTCAACCCCTCTCTCGGGCTCTGAGTCGGGCTGAGGGCTTCCTTCAACCACAGCAGCTATTCTATCTGCTTCATCTAAGGAAGTGAGAACCACTGTCCTCCACCTCCATTCCACCTGCCCACCTCGGGGTCCGCCCACCCACCCCGGGTCCGGTCCGCAGGGCGAGCTAACAGGGGGTCTGGCTTTGCCCCAGGACAAGCATCTTCTCTTGACAAAGAATCAGGGAAGGCACCTGCCCTACTTTAGCCCTCCCCCCAGGAGGCCCTCAGCCGCCAGCTCGGCAGCCCTCGCGCCCTCTGAGGCCAGCCTGGCACAGGGGCCCCTCTGACCCCGTCCCGCCTCTCCAGGCTTCCCCGACAGCTTCATTTGCTGGTGCCAGGCTTGCCGGCCCCTTCTCCCACCTCCATCGCCAAACCACAGGGTCTCCCACAGCTCGCTCCAGGGCGGGGTCTCCCAAGAGCAAAAGGGGGGCAGCCCCTTCCCCTTCTCTCAGACCAGGTGCCCAGGGCCCCCTGCCTGCTGCCCACCATTCCCACCCGCTGAGGGCGTGGGGAGGGGCAGCAGGGTCCGGGGACCAAAGTTCCCGGGACTCAGTCCAGAGGGCGAGCCCACGGGAGGCCACTGCCACTCCACGGGCGGCGGAGGGGCCTCGGGGAAGCAGGTCAAGGCCGCTCCGTGGGGAGGGGGCGCCAGAAGTGCCCTCCCCCCTCCCCGAGGGCGGGGCCGGGACAGGAGTAGGGGTGTGGCCGGCCTGGCCCGAGGAAGGCCGGGGGAGGGGTGCGCAGCTGGGGCTGGGGCTGGGCCCGGGCCCGCGGTGTGTCCGGAGGCAGCCCAGACACAAAAGCCAGGCTGGGCGACCCACCAACGCTCCAGGACCCAGTGCGTCGTAAGAGGACTTAGAAATGCAGGCATCAGACTCTTTGGGCAAGAGTCACTGATAGACTCAGAACTGTGTCTGAGTCATATACTCAAGTAGTACGTTTTTAACCATAGTTCATGTAGTTTGACTCTGTTACCTTTCCCATATTGCTCTTTACTCCTGT